ATCGAAGCGTATTTGTTTGACACGTTTTCCCACGAAGTGCGGGTGGTTAACGTGGACCCAGTGCCTTCAAATCGGTGTCTATTTGGCCTTTGAACCCCTTCACGCCTCCTGCGTTAATACCCCCCCGCCCCTTCGCGCGTGAAGGGCTCACAAGTGGCGTCATCACACCTGTCCCTCCACAAACCTGGTTGCTGTCCACCTGATGATGCTGGTTGTAATTACTGGCGAAACGTCGTACTCGGATTGCAAAATGTCGCGGCTTTGCACTCCAACACACAACCGGTGGTGCTGAGCTAGTGACGAATTGGCCACGTTCTGTTCACGTGACAACCCTTGACTAATTGGCTGTGTCGGGTGGTGGCCGGTTTAACGACACATTTATATATTTACGTGATCTAACCCAACAAAAAAAAAACCTCTAATGGATATTGGTTGTGAAAGCTTAATACTACGTGTTAAACAGATTGTGAATGGTGTGGATTTGCTCTCCAACACACCGGTTAGTGCTGAACTGGTAACGAATTGGCCACGTTCTATTTACGTGACAAACACTTTTACTAATTGGCTGTGTCGGTTGGTGGCGGGTTTACCGACGCATTTATATATTTACGCGATCTAACTCCAGAAAAAAAACTATTATGGATGATATTGGTCGCGAAAACCCGCTACTCCACCTACAACTATGCGTTAAACCAAATGTTAAAGGTCGGTCCTCTGTTCGTCAATGAGCTCACGATCCTTGGGCGTGGCGCGCTGAGGCCACTGCCCCCCCCCCCCGGTCAAACTCCACGCGCACTCAGACAAAGATGCCCCGCATAGCCTGCAAGGGGCCGTTGGGGCAAGTGCTGTCAGCGAGCAGCGAGCCGCCTTTGTCTCCCCCCAGGACCGGATTCAGTCAGACCATGCGTCACTGGTGTTGCCCGTCAGCCGGAATTGAAGTCGGCGCTCTAACCGCTACACCCCGGCCACCTGAGTTCGATTCCCGCTCACGGCCACCAACACTTATCTGAACCGGACACGGGCCTCCCCTAACGTCGACTCGGCCTCAAATGAGCACATGGTGCTTAGTGAGCCACAGTGCCGGTCGCCTTCATAGGCGCTCGCTGACAGCCACGATGCCTCCCTCCAGCGGCAGCAGTCTTGCTCAAGGCTACACGGGGCGGCGTGGCCCTGCGAGCAAGCGGCAGCGGCTGTGAAGGTCGCTCGCGGCTGCACGTGGGGGGGGGGGGGGGGAATAGCAAAAAACGACCGACCGACCGACCGCCTTTAAGTCTTCCCAACCCCGCACCTCCCAGTGCTGAACGTTTAAACGCCCACACTCGACGTCGGCGCTGTGGCTCACAAAGCAAAGGAACGTGAGTTATGGGGGTGGTGGTGGTGGTGGGGGGGGGGGGGGGGGCGCCCGACAGCGTGGCAGCAGCAGCGGCAGCGCTAGAACCGGCTGGGAGCGGTGTTCGGTCTCCTTCTCCGTTCCGTGATGACTTTGGCTCGACGCACAACACGAGCCCACGTGCCAAATGTAACCAGCGTCGGACGAAATTATCCCAAACATTGCGATCGACGTGGACAAAGATTCCCTCCACCGCTGTTAGCGAGCAGCGGCATCCACGAAAGGTGGCCAGCACCACGCCCGACCGCCTTTGTCTCTCTCCCCCCCCCCCCAAATTGGCGATGTTTTACGCAGCCACGCCAACGCATTCGTTTGAGGCTGAGTCGACCTAGGGGACCGGCCCAGGACCGGGTTCAGAAAATCGTCCGTGAACGGGAATCGGGAATCGAACCCGGGTGGCCAGGTTCGTAGACGCAGGGCGCTAACCACTACACTACCGCTCCCCCCACAATCCACATTGCAATGAACACCACCACCTCCTGAACCCGCATTGAACTCGCGTTTACTCGCGGCGAGAGATTTTAACTTCACTGCTAACCTTGACTCCTGCTCAATCCCTTATCAACCACGCGCGTGCACAAAGACAAAGTTCCCCCGTATAGCCTGCAATAGACTGTAGGGGCAAGTGCTGTTAGCGAGCAGCAGCACTTATGAAGGCCGGCACGGCACACGAGGGGGTGGGTGGCCCAACACCACGCCCGGCCGCCTTTGTCTCCCCAGTTACGATGTTTACACACCGCACCAGGTCATCATTTAAGGCCGAGTCGATCTAGGCGAGGCCCAGGACCGGATCAGATAATCGTCTTAGATGTTTGTGGCCGTGAGCGGGAATCGAACTCGGGTGGCTCCGGGGTTCGTAGCGCAGCGCGGTAGCTACTGCCCACTGCACTACCGCTCCCCACACACTCTCTCACGCACAAAGACAAAGTTCCCCCGTATAGCCTGCAATAGACTGTAGGGGCAAGTGCTGTTAGCGAGTAGCAGCACCTATGAAGGCCGGCACGGCACACGAGGGGGTGGGTGGCCCAACACCACGCCCGGCCGCCTTTGCCTCCCCAGTGACGATGTTTACCACACACCGCACCAGCGACTCATTTAAGACCGAGTCGACTTAGAGGGAGGCCCAGGACCGGATCAGCTTTAATAATCGTCAGCGGTGTCGGTGGCCGTGAGCGGGGTTCGTAGCGCAGCGCAAACGGCAGCAGCAGCAGCCTGCGCCGGTTTAATCCGACGCAGTAACACTGGCGATGATTGAGTCTGGGGCGATGATGGTGGTGTTGTTGATTGTGTCGATGGTGAATGATGCAGTGGGGTGTGGGTGGGTTGGTTGGTTGATGGTGGTGGTGCTTTCCTCCCTCCTCCCGCCCTTCCCGCTCGCACCACTCACACACTGCGCGATTCAGCCGCTTGCCTTCAATATTCCGTTACTCGCGACCCACGGCCAAATTACCATCAATTAGCGACGGCGCGACCTCCTCCCTCCCCTTACCCACCCCGAACATTCCTCTGAATTACCGAACACCCCCAGCACTGAGTGGGTGGGGGGGGGGCAGGGAGGTTGGGAGGGAGGGAGAGGGGGGGGGCGCAATGAATGGGTCGCTCTCACAAACCCGAGTCGCTATCCCGTCGGGGTTGCAGCAGTACGAACGCGTTGCACAAACCCTGACACTCGACACGGCTGCGCGACTTTTGCTGTTGTTTGTTGTTGACGCTGCTGCTGCTGCTGTAGCTGCGTCTCACTTTTTTTTTTAAAGCGAGCAAGTTAACGGCCGCCACGATCGCTTGTACGCGGCAAACGCGCCGACTATTTAAACTAAAAAAGAAAAAAAAACCCGAAAAAAATGAAATTCTCAACAACAACAACAAAATACTCTTTGGTTCTATTGGGTAAAGTCACCAAAGAGTATGGATCCTAGCAGTCACGAAAGCTTTAAATCTAGAACAACAAAATAAACAATGTTTTATTTTTACTGGTAAGGCCCACACTGAGCTGCAATGCAGCTCGATTTCAGAAGCGACCTGGCCATCACAAATGACAGCTCAACGAAGTAGGGTTATCGTCACGTGGAAATGTGTAGCAGCCAAAGACTCTAAACGAGTAATGTTGATTCTAAGTGTGGATGGAACAATCCACGTGACCACGGGGAGAGAGAGAGACACGCAAACTCCAAATATACAGCAGCAGGCATCAGGGTCGGCATCAAACCCACGACCTCCTGTATACCAGGCGAGGTAGTAAACATCTCCTAGCCACCGTGATGATGATGATGATAATGAGAGATACGCAAATCCCAAATATACAGCAGGCGTCAGGTTCGGGATCGAACCCACGACCTCCTGTAAACCAGGCGAGGTAGTTAACATCTAGCCAGCGTGCACTGCTTACGCAGAATCAGAATCTGTATTTGTCCTGGATGAATCCGATGAGCTGTGAAGCTCTTTTTCACAGATGTCAAGTAGGGGGCGGTCTCAGCAAGTGCCACGAACAAAAAGTGTTTTTCAGGTTTGTTTTTGGGTTCGGGGTGGTGGTGGGCGAACGACACATTAATATTCACGTGACATAACCCAACAAAAACAAATACCTTTTATTTCGGATGATATTGTTCGCGGAAGCCTCCCACGTGCTAAACCCAATGGTGTAATACAACAAGGGGAAAATCAACAACAACAACAACAGGAGTGCAAAATAGGGAAAAGGTAAAGCAAAATCAGGAGAAACAGGAAAGTGAATGAAGTACGTGAGCACACATCGTGCGAGTGCATCGCAGCAGCAGCATCATCATTCATTGAAGAGGGGAGTCGATGTCACTATCGCTTGACGCAGCGAACGCGGTGGGAATAAGTCAATCGTAGTGCTCGTGTTCTAGTGGTAGGAGGTGGTGGTGGTGGTGATGATGGTGGTGATGGTGGTGGTGATGGTGGTGGTGATGGTGGTGGTGATGGTGGTGGTGGTGGTGGTGCTGATGGTGGTGGTGGTGATGGTGGTGGTGATGGTGGTGGTGGTGGTGGTGATGGTGGTGGTGATGGTGGTGGTGGTGCTGATGGTGGTGGTGCTGATGGTGGTGGTGGTGGTGCTGGTGGTGGTGCTGATGGTGGTGGTGATGGTGGTGGTGATATTGCTGGTGGTGGTGCTGGTGGTGGTGCTGGTGGTGCTGGTGGTGATGGTGGCGGTGGTGATGGTGGTGGTGGTGGTGCTGGTGGTGGTGCTGGTGGTGGTGATGGTGCTGGTGGTGGTGGTGCTGCTGGTGGTGGTGGTGCTGCTGGTGGTGATGGTGCTGGTGGTGCTGGTGGTGCTGGTGGTGATGGTGGTGGTGATGGTGCTGGTGGTGGTGGTGCTGGTGGTGGTGCTGGTGGTGGTGCTGGTGGTGGTGGTGCTGGTGGTGGTGGTGCTGCTGGTGGTGGTGGTGCTGGTGGTGGTGGTGCTGCTGGTGGTGCTGCTGGTGCTGGTGGTGATGGTGCTGGTGGTGCTGATGGTGCTGGTGGTGGTGTTGCTGGTGGTGGTGGTGCTGCTGGTGGTGGAGGTGGTGTTAGTTCTGGTGGTGATGATGGCCATGTTACTGGTGATGGCCATGTTACTGGTGGTGGTGGTGGGGGCCCCGCAGGTGTCTACCTGTGGGGATCGGGGGGGAGGCCAGGTGAGGGGGGCCCCCAGCGGCCTCGCCCGGTCCGTGGGCCCACGTGACCCTTCTCCTGGGTTCAAAGGTCACATTCGCGACCTCCTCGGCCGTCCCCGGCTCCTTCCCTTCCCCAATTCCGCCCCCGCAGGCGCCTGCGGAATCTTTAAACGAGGGGGTGGGGAGGGGGGAGGGGAGGGGGGCAGAGGAACAGATCGAATTAAATTAATGAAATGGTAACGACACCTTAGCCCTCGACGTTTCAAACTACTCGTGTGAGCGTCCACACGTGTGGGGAGCGCCCGCAAGGCGAGGCCGCGCTTGTTTGATCTTTTTTTTGTTTTACCTACTACGCGGTACCGTCTGCGACGGTGAAATAAAACGACGCGAAAAGAGTCGCGGGAAAACAAAACAAAAAAATCTCGCGTCCGTACCTCCCTGGGCCCCGACGCTCGGGGGGCTCCCGGCCTCCGGCTCGGCTGTCATCCCGGGCGTGGGCTCCCCTGCGTCGCCGTGGAGTCCCCCCCGGGCACCCCCCTTTTCTCCGTGGGGGGCGACCGGACCTGGGGGCACGTGGAGAACGAGGCTGGCGCGATGGCCGTCGCCGCCGCCGGCGCCGGCGCCGCCGTCGTCGTCGTCTTCGCCGTCTGCGCTCCGCTCGTCTTCGTTGTCCTCGAGGTCCTCCTCGTCCTCCTCCTCCGTGGCGTGGAGGTGGAGCTCCACCAGGGTCTGCATCTCTGAGACGGGGATGGGGGAGAGAGGTGGGGGCAGCGTGAGACAGGAGATGAGATGGCGTGGATCGGATGAGATGGATGAAATGAGATGGATGGGATGAGATTAGATGAGATGGATGGCAGGAGATGAAATGCTGTCGATGGGATGAGATGAATTATATTAGATGGTGTGAGTAGGATGACATTGTTGAGACGAGATGGTGTCCATGGGAAGGGATGACAGGAAATGAGATGGCGTAGATGGGTTTGAGCTGGATGGATAAAGATGGTGTGGGAGGGATGAGATGGATGAGATAAGATGTCATGGATGGGATGGGATTGCATGAGAAATGATGGGATAGAGTGTTGGTGGCAGTGGCAACCAGTCACCCAAGTTGGATTCTCGCTCATGACCAACATCTGCGACGATTACCTGAGCTCACCCGGGGCCTTCCCAACGTCGACTCAGCTGGTGGCGGTGCGTAAGCATCAGCATTGGGGAGACAAAGGCGGCCGGGGCGTCGGTTCCGCCACACCACCCGTTAGTGTGCTGAGCTGGCATTAATAGGTGCTCGCAAGCAGCTCCTAACACAAGGGGGTGGTTGTTTTCGTGCGTGTGATTTGCGGGGAGCGGTGGTGCAGCGGTTAGCACTACGCTGCGCTACGTACCCGGCGACCCCAGTTCGATTCCCGCTCACGGCCAACACCCAGTGACAATTATCTGAACCGGGCCCGGGCATCCCCTAGGTCGACTCGGCCTCAAATTAGTACTTGGTGCTGTGTAAACATCGCCACTGGGGAGACAAAGACGGCCGGGCGTGGTGATGGCCACACACCCCCCTCGTGTGCCGTGCCGGCCTCCATGAACAGCACTTGCCCCCAACAGTCTGTTAAAGGCTGTACGGGGGATCTTTGCCTTTGTTTTGTGTTAGTGTGATTTGCGGGACGTGACGGGGGGGGAGGGGGGGGGTCTCACGGCTCATGGTAGGGGGCGTGTAGGAGCTGTGGTGCCCCCCCTTTCGGGGGGAATGTCCAAGTCGGCCCTCGGTTCCCTGAAACATCAACGACGTTGAACACACGCTGGGTCAACAACAACAACAACAATCACGGCAACAGTAAACAAACACGTCGTGACTATCCAAACCCTACAAATACGATTAGCACGGCTGGCTACGTACGGTGCGAAAAAAAGTTCAGCATACATATATACATAGCTCACACTCGTTTTCTTTTTTTTCCATTGGCACATGCGAGCCGTGCCGGGTGTATGTGGGGGCCGTCCCACACACACCTGGCACGGCTATTTTCCATTGCGGGCCGAAACTAAACCGTGATACGCGGGCGTCGCGCGAGACGTCGGAATCTGTCTCGGGGGGGTGGGGGGGGGCAAGCAGGGCCCAGGGGTGGGGCCTGGGGGGGGGCCAAATGACGCGACCACCGCGTGTGACGTCGGTCGGCGATGTCGGTGGCACGGCACGGCACGGTTTTTCAACACTTGGGAAGAAAAAAAACCGAACTGCAGCCGCGCCGGGCTGGCTCAGTTGTGCCAGCGGGAGAGAGAGCGGCGAGTGAGGCCTGGGTAGGGGGAGGGGGTGAGTCGTGGTTGGGGGAGGAGGGGGGTGGTGGTGGTGGGTAGGGGAGGGTGAGTTGTGGTTGGGGGAGGAGGGGGGGTTGGTGGTGGTGGGTGGGTGGGGTGGTGAGTTGTGGTTGGGGGAGGAGGGGGGTGGTGGTGGTGGGTGGGTGGGGTGGTGAGTTGTGGTTGGGGGAGGAGGGGGTTGGTGGTGGTGGGTAGGGGGGGGGTTGAGTCGTGGTTGGTGGGTGGGGGGTAGTGGAGGGGGGGTCTCACCTCTCCATGCTCTCCATCTCTGTCATCATCTGTGGGGAGAGTGATGCCAGGACACTCGCTGTGACTTTGACACGGAAGCATTTCCCCGCGACGGGCAACCGCTCACGTGGCCACCCCCCACCCTCGCCCCCCACCAATCCCCACAGGTAAACACCTGTACCTCCACGGCCCCCAAAACAAATACAAAGATCCCCCGGGTAGCCTCAACAGACTGTCGGGGCAAGTGCAGTTAGCGAGTAGCAGCACCTATGAAGGCTGGGTGCGGGTGGCCGGCACTACGCCCGAACACCTTTGTCTCCCCGAAGGCGATGTTTTGTGTTTACACACAACTGCATGCACCGGGTACTCATTTGAGGCTGAGTCGACTTAGGGGAGGATCCAGGACCGGTTCGGTGTTGGTGGCGTGAGCGGGAATCGAACTCGGGTCATAGCCGGGTGGGTTAACTCTCCAACACACCGGTTAGCGCTGTGTGAGTAACTAATTGGCGTGTCTTGTTGTTTACGTGACAAACCTTACTAGTGCCGGATGAAGCTAAGTGTGGGGTCTGTAGCATATGATGTTATAAAGGGGCCCTAAATATAAATAAATACGTAAATATTAAAACACAAATCTTTTACTCGCATTGTAAAGTAATGGTATTTTTTCATTTGCTATACAGCCAAATAATACGACAAATCGCTAACCTTAAACACCCAGTCGTTCATAAAAGTTGAAGGCGGTATAGTACTATAGTAATAGAGCAAGTGCAGAATCACTGAATCGGAATTTTATAGCTTGAAAGCGTTTAGCGCGGGGCCCTTGAAAGTGTAGTAGCTACTACTACACTTGAAAGTGTAGTAGCTACTACTACACTTGAAAGTGTAGTAGCACCTACACATGTAGTAGCTACTACACGTGAAGTAGCTAGTACACATGATGTAGCTACTACATATGATGTAGCTACTACATATGATGTAGCTACTACACACAACCACTACACATGTAGTAGCTACTACACATGTAGCACCTACACACGTAGCAGCTACTACACGTGAAGTAGCTACTACATATGATGTACTTACTACACACAACCACTACACATGTAGTAGCTACTACACATGTAGCACCTACACACGTAGTAGCTACTACACGTGAAGTAGCTACTACATATGATGTAGCTACTACACACAACTACTACACATGTAGTAGCTACTACATATGATGTAGCTACTACACACAACCACTACACATGTAGTAGCTACTACACATGTAGCACCTACACACGTAGTAGCTACTACATATGATGTAGCTACTACACACAACTACTACACATGTAGTAGCTACTACATATGATGTAGCTTACTACACACAACCACTACACATGTAGTAGCTACTACACATGTAGCACCTACACACGTAGTAGCTACTACATATGATGTAGCTACTTTTGGTACTACGATCATACGGCACCGAACCTTACTGAATTCGCGTGGTTGCTGCGGTGGCTGCGGGTTCAACGACGCATTTATATTGACGCGATCTTACCCCACAATCCCCTGCACTCTATGATGAATAAGATTGGTCGAGAATGCCTCCACCACCACCACCTCCCACCACCATCACCACCACTACTGCGTGTTCAACCGAATTATAATAATTGCGCTCTTCGCCGCCAGCTTCACAGAGGACGTTTAAACATCGTCTGACGTCAATCGGCAAGATTAGGGGGGGCGTTGTGTGTGGCAGCGTGCGTTGACGACTCCACATGTGCCAAACGCGTAAAATTGCAGTCGCAAATTTTACTCTAATGAGGGGTGGTGGTGGTGGAGTGATACAGACGAAGCAATTATCGCCTCCCACCAGCAGCGGGCTAACGTGGCGGGGGTGGGGGGTTCGTCACGGCGTTACAAAACGAGTCCCATCCTCGTCTCTTGTGAGTTTTGAAGCACCCTGCTCGGGCTGAAATCGACGTGAAACTCGTCAGCGCAACAATGGTTTGTATTAACCTGGGTCGCACGCACCCCACATCCACCGCCCCCCCCCCCCAATCTCCAGTGCCGGATTAGTGCGGGGCCTGGGGCATATGATGTTATAAAGGGGCCCTACATATTGAATAAATAAATAAACAACTAACTCTTTTTACATATAAATTTGTAACTTTCATAGCAAAGTAATTGTATTAATTAATTTGCTATGCAGCCAGACAATACGACAGATCGTTAAACTTAAACACCCAGTCGTTAATAAAAGTTGAAGGCGGTCTAGTACTATAGTAATAAAGCTAGTGCGGAATCACTGAACCGGAATTGAGAGCTTGGAAGCGTTTAACGCGGGGCCCTTGAAAGTGCGGGGCCCGTAGCATCTGCAGCTACTTGTGCTACTAGGATAATCCGGCACGAACCCTCTCTCTCTCTGGGGTGTGCGAGATGCCCTTTCAGAGGTGTGCGAGACATGGCGAGAATTCATATTCTTTGGTAAAGTCACGTAGACAAATAATTTAACAAAATTAACTTCATTTTTATTTTTTATTATTGTATTGTTCTATCGATGTGACTATACAGAAAGACCCAAAGAATATGAATTCCTGCAGTCACGAAAGCTTTAAGTCGAGATTTATGGCCAGAATTATATTTCTTTAGAAGGTAAATAATCGAAAACACAAATTAAGCACGGGGCCACTGAGAGTACAACTTTGTTTCATCAAACCTTTTTGCTATTGATGTTAACATTATAAAAAATATATATATTATGATTGAGAACCAAATGGGTGTACATGGCTGCAATAAAGGTTAAGACACGCTGCTCTGAAGTTGGGGTTGGGGGGTGTCTTTTATTTTCTTTACGGCGGTTTTATGACGGCAGCGAGGAAGAAATAGAGCCGGTCCAGTGACCATGCAGCTGCCAATGATTGATTTATACGGAGCGCGCCCCCCCCCCCTCGCCCCCCCCCCCCACCCCGCCACTCAGTTGTGACGCACATCGACGTCATCATCGTCGTCATCATCGTCGTCATCGCCGTCATCATCGTCGTCATCGTTATCATCGTCGTCATCGTCGTCATCATCGTCATCGTCGTTATCATTGTCGTCGTCATCATCATCGTCGTCATCGTGGTCGTCGTCATCATCATCATCGTCGTCATCGTCGTCATTGTCGTCGTTATCGTCGTCATCATCGTCATCATTGTCGTCGTCATCATCATCGTCGTCATCGTGGTCGTTATCATCATCATCATCGTCGTCATCGTCGTTATCATCGTCATCATTGTCGTCGTCATCATCATCGTCGTCATCGTGGTCGTCGTCATCATCATCATCGTCGTCATCGTCGTCGTCAAGAGCGCGCGCCGGGAGGGGAGGGAGTGGGGTCGGGGGGGGAGGGGGTGGGGTCTGGGGGGAGGGGTGGGGGGGTCCAGAGACGCAGCTGAGCCGCCAGCGGTTTGGAACTTTGGGTTCGGATCTCGGGGGGGGGGGGGGGGGGGCGCTCAGCCCCTGCCGCCGGGATGTGATTGAAGTGCAGTGAGTTAAACTAAAACTTTCATGAATAATGTTATATACATATATTTTTAAACCAGGTAAGGCCATACCGAGCTGCGATAAAGCTCTATTTTTTATTTTATTTTATTTATTTCAGAAGCGACCTCTGATCATCACAATCGATAGCTCAAAGAAATTGGCTCTTAGTTATCACGTGGGCATTGACAGCAGTCAAAATGCTCTAAACGACGTGGCGTTGATTCTAAATTTGGAGGGAAACACCGGAGGACCCGGAGAAAAAATGTACACGACCATGGATGGAGATAACAGGTTTTTTTTGGGGTTAGATCGCGTAAATATATAAATGTGTCGTTAAACCCGCCACCACCCGACACAGCCAACTAGTAAAGGGTTGTCACGTAAACAGAACGCGGCCAATTCGTCACGAGAGCCAAGCCACGACATTTACAATCTTGAGTACGACGTTTCGCCAGTAATTACAACTAGCTTTATCAGGCGACAGACAGATTTGTGGAGAAGTCCACCTATTTCGTTCCTTATATAGATAAACAGCAGGCGTCAGGGTTAATGATTCTGACTGGTCGGATTGGAGAGCAGGCCAGCCATCGGCTAGCCAGGGAAACTCGAGGCATGGATTATTGTAATAGTCGTGAATTACTCAGGACAGCCTCACTCATTGCCATGACAATCACTGTTTTATTTTACCAGGTAAGGCCCACACTTAGCTGCTATGCAACTCTTTTTCAGAAGCCACCTGGGCTCACGCGCAAATGAAAAGAAGTGGCTTATCATTCGGACATTTATGGGCAAGGCAAAGACTCTAAACGCGTGGCGTTGCTTCTAAATGTGGAGGGAAAAATCCACGCGACCACGGGGAGAGAGAGAGAGAGACATGCAAACTCCAAATATAAAGCCGTCGGGATCGAACTCACGACCTCCTGTATACCAGGCGAGAGAGTTAACATTTCCTAGCCACCAATGATCCACACACACACACAGATCCATAGACTCGCGAGTTTTTGCTTAAACCAGATTTCCCCCCCCCCCCCTTGCACTGGGAGAGAGATTGAGGGAGCTATACATCACTTGAGAAGCATCCCAGCTGGGTCCTGGAGTCGACTCGAATTGGTCGACTAGAATGAACCTCTGGCGGGGGGGGGGGAAGGGGGGGTGTGATGTGCGGGATCGATTCGCACCTGGAGACGTCTGATCGTTGAGCAGGAAGAGCGTGGCTGGGGTTGGGCGACGCTTCCTAAGCTGCAACACGCAAACAAAAACAAAACACGCGCGGTGTGAACACGTGGGCACGTGCTCTGTCCACTGCTGGATTAAGGCCTCCGCGTCATTGTGAGCGCACTGCTGGATGGGAGGACTCGGGGTGATGATGTGATGTCTAGCTACTGCTGCATGAAAGCTCTGCCCATTATCATTATAAACTAACACACCCATCACCCTACCATCCATCACTACCATCACCCTACCATCCATCACACACATCACCCTACCAACCATCACACACATCACCCTACCAACCATCACACACATCATCCTACCATCCACCACACACATCACCCTACCATCCACCACACACATCACCCTACCATCCACCACTACCATCACCCTACCATCCATCACGCACATCACCCTACCATCCATCACACACATCACCCTACCATCCACCACACACATCACCCTACCATCCACCACTACCATCACCCTACCATCCATCACACACATCACCCTACCATCCATCACACACATCACCCAACCATCCACCACACACATCACCCTACCATCCGTCACTACCATCACCATACCATCCACCACACACATCGCCCTACCATCCACCACACACATCACCCTACCATCCACCACACACATCACCCTACCATCCATCACACACATCACCCTACCATCCATCACACACATCACCCTACCATCCACCACACACATCACCCTACCATCCACCACACACATCACCCTACCATCCATCACACACATCACCCTACCATCCACCACACACATCACCCTACCATCCACCACACACATCACCCTACCATCTATCACTACCATCACCATACCATCCACCACACACATCACCCTACCATCCACCACACACATCACCCTACCATCCACCACACACATCACCCTACCATCCACCACACACATCACCCTACCATCCACCACACACATCACCCTACCATCCACCACACACATCACCCTACCATCCACCACACACATCACCCTACCATCCATCACACACATCACCCTACCATCCACCACACACATCACCCTACCATCCACCACTACCATCACCCTACCATCCATCACACACATCACCCTACCATCCATCATACACATCACCCAACCATCCACCACACACATCACCCTACCATCCGTCACTACCATCACCCTACCATCCATCACACACATCACCCTACCATCCATCACACACATCACCCTACCATCCACCACTACCATCACCCTACCATCCATCACGCACATCACCCTACCATCCACCACTACCATCACCCTACCATCCATCACGCACATCACCCTACCATCCATCACACACATCACCCTACCATCCACCACACACATCACCCTACCATCCACCACACACATCACCCTACCATCCACCACACACATCACCCTACCATCCATCACTACCGTCACCATACCATCCACCACACACATCACCCTACCATCCACCACACACATCACCCTACCATCCACAACACACATCACCCTACCATCCACCACACACATCACCCTACCATCCACCACACACATCACCCTACCATCCATCACTACCATCACCATACCATCCACCACACACATCGCCCTACCATCCACCACACACATCACCCTACCATCCACCACACACATCACCCTACCATCCATCACACACATCACCCTACCATCCATCACACACATCACCCTACCATCCACCACACACATCACCCTACCATCCACCACACACATCACCCTACCATCCACCACACACATCACCCTACCATCCACCACACACATCACCCTACCATCCACCACACACATCACCCTACCATCTATCACTACCATCACCATACCATCCACCACACACATCACCCTACCATCCACCACACACATCACCCTACCATCCACCACACACATCACCCTACCATCCACCACACACATCACCCTACCATCCACCACACACATCACCCTACCATCCACCACACACATCACCCTACCATCCACCACACACATCACCCTACCATCCATCACACACATCACCCTACCATCCATCACACACATCACCCTACCATCCACCACACACATCACCCTACCATCCACCACACACATCACCCTACCATCCACCACACACATCACCCTACCATCCACCACACACATCACCCTACCATCCACCACACACATCACCCTACCATCCATCACGCACATCACCCTACCATCCACCACACACATCACCCTACCATCCACCACACACATCACCCTACCATCCACCACACACATCACCCTACCATCCACCACACACATCACCCTCCCATCTATCACTACCATCACCATACCATCCACCACACACATCACCCTACCATCCACCACACACATCACCCTACCATCCACCACACACATCACCCTACCATCCACCACACACATCACCCTACCATCCACCACACACATCACCCTACCATCCACCACACACATCACCCTACCATCCACCACACACATCACCCTACCATCCATCACACACATCACCCTACCATCCATCACACACATCACCCTACCATCCACCACACACATCACCCTACCATCCACCACACACATCACCCTACCATCCACCACACACATCACCCTACCATCCACCACACACATCACCCTACCATCCACCACACACATCACCCTACCATCCACCACACACATCACCCTACCATCCATCACACACATCACCCTACCATCCATCACAAACATCATCCGACCGTCCACCAACACGTGACACGACTAGGGATGACATTTTTTTGGGAACTTTTAACAAATTCAGATTTCAGATATTGAAGGGGGATCCTCGGATGCCCTCCGCTGCGAACCTTGCAGACGGCCGATGCAATCGCAGGGCAAGAGACGATGGCGAGAACCGCAGCTTGGAGAGAGGAGAGATGGAGGGGGCTGTGAGAGAGCAAGCAAAGAGAGAGAGAGAGATTTAGAGAGCGCAGAGGGTGAGACGGAGAGCTCTGCATGCAGATCTAAGCTACCCGTCGGAGGCCGTTTGACTGTGGGAAGGGCTGCGTGCAGGTGCAGCACTTGTCGTAGTTATAAAAAAAGAGAGCGAGAGAGTGAGAGAGAGAGAGCCAAATGGAGTAGGAAGAGAGGGGGCAGAGAGAGAGAGAGGAGGGACAGCGAGGGGGTAGAGAGAGAAGAGGGGCAGAGAGGGGGGTAGTGAGAGAGAGAGGGAAGGGGTAAGGAGAGCAGAAAAAAATATTTTGTTGGGTCTTTCATTTAAAAGGGGGGGGGAGGGAGGAGGTTCACACAAAGCAAAGCATAACAAAAAACAAAAAAACGAAATGATGAACGAAGCAAAGTGCCGACTACACCGAGCATCTTCTTGTTTCCTCTGATCGTGAAAAAAAAAGAGAGAGAGAACGAGGGATGGCGAGTGAGATAGGTATGAGAGAGATAGAGAGAGGAGGAGGGGGGCTGGTTTTGAGAGAGTGACAGAGTTTATCGAGATAAAGAGAGATGGCACCGGGGTTTTAGTGAGAGAGAGGGGGGGGGGGATAGAGGGTTTACGAGTGAGAGGGGAGCGACAGGGTAGGGATGGGGGAGTATATGACGGGGGGAGAGAGAGAGAGAGACTTTTGACTTTTAAACAACTTTTATTGCCGCCAGCAGCAACAGCGCTGGGGGCGATTCCGATACGAAATACACAAAGTCACCAGCAACACAAATGAAAACAAACACTCTACATCCCCGCGCTGTGGCGCAAAATGCACCGCGCACAACACGAAATAAAAGCCACGTGGTGGTGGTCATCGCGCGCGCCACGGTGACGAGCAAGCGCTTCAGAAGGTGAACACGTGGGGGGTGCCGTCCACGCTGGTACAGAGAGGGGCTTGTCCGGCTCCCCAGCGTTCGAAGAAGACGCGCTGCACATCACCGACACGTGTGTGTGTGTGTGTGGTACACGGCGTGCTCCAGCCGGAGCCGAGAGAGAGAGAGAGGTATGGGGGCATAGAGGGTTTATGAGTGAGAGGGGAGCGGCAGGGTAGGGAGAGGGGGTTTATGAGGGGGTGGTGAGGTGAGCGAACGAGGCAGTACAGAGAGATGAGACGGAGTGGGGAGCTAGAAAGTTTACAGCACACGGGGGGATTGGGGAACGTTGCCTAACTGAGCACCGAACAGGAAATCTTGACCTCCTGACTTGACTTGAGCGGCCAGACAAAGACAAAGATCCCCCGTAGTAGCATTAACAGACTGTTGGGGCAAGTGCTGTTGGCGAGTAGCAGCACCTATGAAGACCGGCACGGCTCACTCGGGGTTGGGCGGACAGCACCACGCCCGGCCGCCTTTGTCTCCCCAGTAGCGATGTTTGCTACACACCGCACCAGGTTACCAATTTGAGGCTGAGTCGACCTAGGGGAGGCCCAGGACCGGTTCAGATGATCGTCACAGGTGTCGGCCGTGAGCGGGAATCGAACTCGGGTGGCCGGTATTCGGCTGACCCCAAACAAACATTACCACACTCACACAGCTCCTGAGCGTTCGCCAATAACAACAACAACAAGAAGAACAACAACAAACGACACGAAAACTAACGTCCGTGTAGGCCCAGCAATATTAAAGCGGCTATCGCATTGAAGGGGCGTGACTACCCCGGCCCGCTAAAATTAGAAACGGGATTTTGTTTTACCGGATTTAAATTGTTTTATTTAATTCCCCCCCCCCCCACCTCCCCTCTAATACCCGATCAGTGCGGCCGTGGTGAAAGCGACAGTTCAGCTGTCGCATTCACGGCCGACGCTTTAGAAGGGGTTTGGCCTCGTTTGGTCGCGGCCCGTGTCGAGAGAGGCCGGGGGCATCGTTGAGAGAGGCCGCGGGTCGCGTCCAGAAAGGCCGCTGGGCCGTATCTGGAGAGGCCGCTGGGCCGTGTCTAGAGAGGCCGCTGGGCCGTGTCTGGAGAGTCCGCTGGGCCGTATCTGGAGAGGCCACTGGGCCGTGTCTGTAGAGGCCGCTGGGCCGTATCTGGAGAGTCCGCTGAGCCG